GCTCTGGACCACCCACCTGGCTGCACATCTGATCACACTGCCCTGTCCTTTTGGTCAGTGCCTCCCCTGCACCCTGCAGTGTTGGCCTTTTACAGTTCTGGTTTCTAGCTACCCAGATACTCTGAAGGCATGGTTGATTTTACAATTTCTCCTCCCACTTTTTTTTTTTTGTGTGTGTGTGGGGGGGATATACTGGAAATTGAACCCATGGGCGCTCTACCACTGAGCTACATCATGGATTTTATTTTGAGACATGGTCTCGCTAAGTTGCCTAGGCTGGCCTCAAACTTGAAATCTTCCCAAGTTGCTGGTATTGCAGGTGTGCACCACCACACCCAACTCTCCTTGTTTCTGAAAAATGGGTAAAAAAATATGATTTGTTCACTGCAGGCTTTAGAATATGTGGTTACAGTTTGAGGGGGATGTTGGAGAGGCCTGAGCTGAGCCTTTTAAGCTACATTTCTACTTTATTCAAGTATCCTGTAGGCATCACCCCTCCCGTGAAGTCTTTCCCAGCCACTCTCACCCCCTTTTAAGCTCTTGCTGTGGCTCCAGTAGGCTGTGGCTGCAGTTAACAGGTAAGGAGATCTGTGTGTCTGGTCTGGTTCAGCCATAACCAGGAGTGAACTGTGAGCTGCTCTCCTTGCTCAAGCCTCAGAAGCTTTCTTTGACAGGGTCATTCTGCTCAGATAGAGGGGCATCATCCTTTTTGAGCCACAGCATTAATCTTCCTCATAGACCTTCCCTACCCATTTTCTGATCCTATGATCTTCCCAAAGAACCCCATAGTGATTCTGATTTCAGGTCCATCCTCTGGAACTTGTGGCTAAGCAGTGAGACATGTCAGTAGATCATAGAAGCCACGATGCTTAAGTGTAAAGATTCAATTAGGCCCAGAATGCTATGGGAGCTCAAAGGGATGGGCTAAGGGGATGGGGGTGGCTGGGAAAGACTTTCTGGGAGAGGTGATGCCTAATGGACACTTGAATATTCAAGTAGAAAAGTAGGCATTAGAGGTGGCAGGGGAGAATGTTTGAACTGGGGACAATCTGAACAAAGACATCGAGACTAAGAAAGGAAGGGAGTTAAAGTGGAACTAAACAGTTTTGTTTTCATACTTTACCTTCCACCTAGAGTTCTACTGCCCTTCTCTGCCAGGTTGTAATGATCAAGGCAGGAGATATACACGTCTCCATAGGTGACTTCTTATTAAATGGTCTCCTAATCCTTCCACTGTGGTGTGGGAAAGAGTACCACTACTTACTACCAAGGCCCACTGTGACTGAGGACCTAATCTTCCCAGCCCTTCATTTCTCCATCTGTCAAATGGTACTCTCCCGACCTCCAGACCAATGAGAATCATACTGAGGACAAAACAGGGCTGTTTAGCTGAAGTTAGTTCCTCTTCAGAGTCAAGGTCACAAGCCTACAGTTTAATGATGATCTTACCAGAATGTTCCTCTTGAGGGTTGGGAGGCCCTGAAGTCTGTATTCCTAGAGGACAATATCCAGATCACTGTATGATGTGGGGTAGTGGAGGGATGAATTGGGCAGTACATCCCTGCCTCTTCCATACTCTAATAACCGGGAAATCTGTTAGGTATTAAGTGTCCGGTCTTGACATGTTTTAGGAAGGGTGGGATCTGCCCAAGGGCATCCTGCATCGCTACTAGTGGGGCACGCAAAATGCACGGGCCTAGGAACCCAGCAATGGGGTCGCCCGGGGCTCCACGTATTCCCGTGGAGGTGGGGTTTCCACCACAGAGGGGGCTGGTCACCCCAGCGTCGGGACTCTGGGTGCGGACTCCTCATTTTGGCGCCGGCCCTTCCGGAGCCTGGACTCGCGCCGCAGGCGGTCAGAGCCCTCCGCGGGCAAATGGATGTCATGGGCGCCTCGATCTCTCTCAGATTTCAAGGTAGAAAGCAGTGATGCGTGAAAAGTGTAGTTAAAAGCAGTCTGGGGCAGGGAGTAGAACAGACGCGGGGCCCTGAAGAGGGGACGGTGGAGAAGGCCGAGGGCTCGCTCCAGTGGTCCCAGAGCCTGCGGCGGGCAGCGCGGGAGGCCAGGCTCTCCGCGTGCTCACTTGCTGGTCCGCAAGGCCGGGGGGCGGGGGGCGGGACCAGAGCACGACTGGCCAATAGGGGGAAGGCAGTCAATGGACTGCTAAATTCCCCTCGGAAAGTAGAGGGGACAGAGGCGGAAGGGAAAGTTCGAAGCTCCGGAGCAATGGAGCCTTCAGCAGGAATTGCCCAGGGATAGTTGGGGGCGCGGGAACACAGGCGAGGTACGGGAAGGCGCAGGCCGCGGCCGCCTCCTCGAAGAGCGGTAGGCCCCGCCCTGACCGCCCCTCCTTCCTGAGCGCCACTGGGCAGCCCGCCCGCTGTTGCCAGCTCGACAGCGCCACCTGCTGGACATCGGCCCCACGTCCGGGCGCCAGGGCCTAGGCTCTGGGACCCCGGGACGCAAAAGTTGGCTCACCATAGACCTGGGCAGGGGGAGCTTTGGTGCCAGAGCCTCTTTCAGACTACTTGATGGGGTCAGGAGGCTTGTGGCCGTCAGAATAAGTGTCCCGTCTTGTCCACCGGGGCCCTGCATTTCCACCACTCAGTCCCACCCAGGCATGAGGAAATAATAGTGAGGCAGTCCCTGGAAAGAGACAGTGGTAAAGGGCAGTTCAAGAGCCTATGGCACTGGGTGATAGGCAGCAAGGCATAGCTGAGAACAGCTCTGAACTACTGTGGACCTTGTTGTGCATGGGATAGCTACAGATGTTGACAAATGAAATAGATGCCTGCAGGGTTATATGATGGGTCAACATGCTGCCATATCTCCTGAGTATGGGTTATCCTTCTGTCTCCTCTTGCTTGCCATAGTATAGGGCAGAAGTCACCATAATTGGAATCAGGACTCATCCATCCTTTCAATAAACATTTATTGAGCACCTACTGTGTGCCAGGCACTGTGCTAGGCGCTGGGGGATACATCAGTGACTAACACACAGTCCCTGTCCTTGAGGAGCTCACAGTCTATTGGAGGGGAAACATACATAATAAACACATAATTAAAGAACTACATTGTGCTATGTGCTACAATAAGAGGTATATACAAAGTGCTGTGGGAGCAAGGACTAAGTGGTGACACATCAGCTGCTGGGAGGTGAGGATCATTGCTTGACTCCTGACTCCCTTAAACCATTGCAAAGTCAGGGATGTTGTTGTCCCATGACTGGTTAAGTGTCATTTGACTGTTTAAAAAGAACCTCTCTCCTGAGGTTCTCCTCTAGCCCTTTCCCATAACTATACCAGCACAGATTAGTTTATCAGATTAGCTGTTTTAACACTTTAAGTAGGAAAGAAACTGGACAGGGAAGTTTCTTTAGGGGAAAAGGACTTTCAAAGTAGTAACAAGTCTTGGGTGTTTAGATGGGGGTGTGGTGGGGGTACCATGAGGGCACTGAGCCAGGGAGGGCAGGCCCTGGGCAGTGGAGCACCTGGGGTGAGTGCCTGTGCAGTGGGAAGGTCAGAGGTAACCTACCTCAAAACTTTGGTCCCCATCTCCCACCAGCTCTATCAGTAACCATTTGTTGATGCTTATCTGCTTTGTAGTGTGCCTTGTTCTATGTGTGCTACAGTTTGCCTATCAGGGAATACACTGAATGGGAAGACTAAATAGAATCAGGTCATTGAAGCTTTAAGTAACAGTTTGTGATTGTAATAGAGGAGCTGTCACAGGCTGTTCATGATCAGTTGCCTAAAGAGTGGCAAATGCAATGAGTTTTTAAAAAAAGAACTCAATGATAGGCTGGTCTGGGGAGGTGGCTTCCATGAAATTAAGTCTTGAAGACAGACATGTTGGTACTAGGGGATAGGAAGAGCATTTGGATTAAGCAGAACCCAGTAAAGGAAAAGCATGGAGTTGGGAAATTTTGAATGGAGGGATGTTCAAAGACCAACAGATCAATCCACTGGGGCAGAGGAAGGAGCAGTGTAAGTGGACTGGGAAAGTTAGATAGAACCAGATGGTGAAGGGCCAAGGACTTGGGGCTTTGCCCCAAGGTGGGGCTGACACCAGACTTAAAATCCCTCTGGAGTTCCTTCTCTGAGCTCTCCAAGTACTCCCACTTTCTTCCCACAGGACCTCTGGACTACCTCATGAATTAGCAACTAGAGGTTTAATGCTGGGCATCTAGAAAGGATTAGGGACATATTTTAAGTATCACCACTACCTGTGAACCAGGAGGAGTCACTGAAGGTTTTTTAGTGGGGAAATGATAGGATTGGTGTCCTGATAGATGGGAGGTGGTTAGACAGGTCACACTGAGTAGGGGGAACTCTGGGTAGTATGAGCCAGACTGGAGGCTCTGGGAATGTGAAAGGAAGGCAGGCCAGATTTGAGAGGCATTGCAAACCTTCCGGACTTCAGGAGCCAGGATGGGGACAGCGTCAAGTGAAGACAGCCATCAGATAGCTCTGAAATTTGAAGCTTAGAAAGTCATGACATTGGCAAGTCACGATGGCCTTCTGCTTGATTTTGTGTGTGGAAAGAATTTAAAGTTCCACATTTGATAGAGGAGTTGACAGATATTTGGGGGAGAAACATTCAGCATATCCCTAGACATGTGAGCCAGGGTCTCAGGAGAAAAAGCAGGCACTGGAGTTCTAGATTTAATTCTCACCCGGAAGAGCCAGGCCATGAGAATGACGAGACCCTTGGGGAACACCCACATTTGAAGTGTCAGATAAGGAGCCAGCACAGGCATGGAGAAAGGATGTTGGGGGAAGGAGAGCCCAGCTACTGTGACGAGAACTGTGGAGAAGATATTTGATTTCACTATAGGGTACTGAAGACCTTCAGGTGACATGTTTCTATGGAGTAGAGCAGGAGTGGGCAGGTAGAAGCCACATTTCAGTCAGGGGCAGGATCACCCCTAATCCATGCTATGCCTTTGTGCAATTTTTTTTTAAACAATAACCCTTTCTTAAAATGCTTACTATCAACCATCAGGAAATTGTCCATAATAAGCTGATTTTATTAGAAAAAGGCACTTCAATGCCAACTGCTAGAAACATAGTAAATGCACTTGCATGGCCACCTCCCTGGGGAAGAAGCGAGTGGGAGAGAATAAGGACGGGAAAGAGAGAAAAGAGCAGCCAGGGGAGGTAGTTAGATCAAGTGGGTGGTTTTGTGCCGAGGACGGAGCAAAAGTCCTGAGGCACTGATTCACATTAACCAAATTCACCAGAGTTGCTTCCAGGCATTTCTTAGTTTTGCCCCCAAACTTGGCAGGAGTGGTGAGCGGATTCAAAGAAAGAAGGGAAGGGCACCCAAGCCTCAGAAAGAGAAAGGGAGCCATGTGGAGATAACTCATGCCTGCTGACTCCTGTCTTCTCAGTGAAGAAGGAATCAGCATTAGGTGCAAAAAGTTGGAAATGAAGAGCAGTAGCCCACCGGAGAAGGTCTGTGGTAGGCATTGTGGGAGTGGGCTGGCACACCTCTGAGGTGAGAGGGCAGGACAGGCAGCAGAGACTGCAGAGCAGGCACTACACAGCACACGCCCACAGGCAGGAATGGAGGCAGGCCCAGGCTGGGCTGTCTACTGACTAGCCCCAGCAATGCCTGACAGCTAGAAAAATCTCAGGGTCAAAAGTAACATAGAAGGAGCCAAGGATGGGGCACCTAGAGCGGTGTGCCAGAGGAGGCTGTTGTCTGGTGGAGGGATGGTGTTACACCAACAGCTCAAGTCCTGGGCACAAACATTCAACCAACCCAGTCCGCAAGTTTGCGACCTGCCAGCATCGATGACTTCGGCAGGCAATGTGGCAAACTCTAGGAAAAGAGTCTGGGTCTAGCCTGTGGGGGTCACATCCAGTGCTGAGTTCTCTTCTCTTTCTTCATTTGTTGTCCAATCCCACTCAGCCTTCTTGTCCCCTAGGCATGTGTCTTCTGCAACACACAGACCCACTGAAGCTCTCCTACCTGGACCCATCCCAGCTCTGTGACATCTCTCCAGGTTTGGGGGACCCAACCAGTACCCTATAGTCTCAGAGCAACCAAATCTTGGCTTGAACAGGTTATTACAAAATGCTTTTCCTTTAAAAAAAATCCTCATCTCTGTGGTTGACCCATGGAGGAACACACCACCCCTTGAAGACCTCACAGCTACACCCCCATCTTCCCCCCAAAACGGAAGATACAGAACCCCAAGTACACACAAATACATACAGAGATATTCACATACGGGATAGTAAATTCCCTGCATAGGGAATGTAGACAGTGAGATGCAGTCAGGCCAGACTCTTCTCACAAACCCCCCATGCCCTGGCCCCAAATTTCTCCCTGGCTCAGGGGGTTTCCCTCTATCACCAAGTCAGCCCAATATCCTGCCAAGAGCATATCCCCTAGTGCTCCTGAAGGCCATGGTCTGCTGCCAGGAATGCTTGCTCAAAGTGAGCATAGCTTGGCCATGGTGATGCCAGGTAGGGCCGGGGGACTGGGGATCAGGTGTAATGAATCCCACTGAAACGTAAGGGCAAGGACACTACTTAAGTCAGTCTGTGTGAAAATGCTGCTCAGCTTCACCTGATGGGTCACACTGGTGATGCCTTCCTTTACATGTCATGGGGCTCCATCTTAATGAGGGAGGTGGGGTTGAATGGGGAGAAGGAGGCTGGGGTTGGGGATCTAGTCAGCAGGTTCCCAGATGTGGTCACACTAGGCTCAGCCATAAACAGGGACCCTGAGCCTGAGGAGAGCTCAAGTTCAGCCACAGGGGTCAGCCCAACAGTGGGGCGGCTGGGGGAAGAGAAAGTCTGGTTTCCCATAAGGCTCGAATTGTGGGAACCCCTTGAAACCACCTGGGTTGGAAGTGGCTGAAGATGAGCCTGATCTCTCAGAAGCTCCCTCAGGGTCTCTTCAGGAACCAGCAGCCCCTCCATGGGAGCCCCAGTCACCATGCCCTGTACATATGAGGAGGACCTCAGTGGCCCCTCCTTGACCCCAGGGGCTGCTGTGGTGCTAGAAGTCCTGATGAAGGCAGCAATGACAGTCCCAGGGGGCTGAGAGCTGGGCCCCGCTGGTCCAGCACCTGTGGCCGAGGGTGGTGCTGGGTTGGTTGAACGATTGGCCCCAGCCAGCAGTTGGGGGAGGCTACTAAGAATCAGGGGGGTCCCTGGTGCTGCCACCTGGTTCTCTTGGAAACTGGTGTTCAGGGGGAAGGAGGCCTGCAAAGTGAAGGTGTCTTTCAACGTTGACACAGGAGGAACACTCTGGAGAACGAGCTGAGTGGAAGCAGTAGTACTGGCAGGAGACCCATTGGTCAGCACTGTGGTCAACGGGATGGTCTGCAGGGTCACGGCTGAGCCTGACCCCACAGGGGCCACTCCTAGGTGGATGTTGCTGGGCACTGAAGAAGTACTGAGAAGAGACAGAAAATAAAGTTTGTTAAAGCAGGAGGTACCCTGCCACCAGCTACGAAGGAGGGCACAAGAGGGACAGAGTGGCAGGCATTTTGCACATGTGTTGTTGCTCTAGCTAACATTTATTGAGTACTTAGTTCAGGTCAGAGGTCATTCTAAATGATTGGCATGTGGCATTTTTCTCAAGCCTCAAAACAGCCCATGAACTAAGAAGAATCTGATTTTACAGCTTGAGGAAACTGAGACCCAGACAGGTCATGCAACTTGCCCCAATACTACATAGCTGGGATTTGCATCTAGAAGTTGTAGCCCCATAGACCACTCTACTGCTCCTCCCCGTGCCTTTTTTTTTTTTTTTTTTTTTGCAGTACTGGGGATTGAACACAGGGGTGCTCTACCACTGAGCTACATACCCAGCCCCCTTTTTAAAAATTTGAGACAGGGTCTCACTAAGTTGCCCAGGCTGGCCTTGAATTTGCATCATCCTGTCTCAGCATCTTGAGTCACTGGGATTACAGGCATGCACCACAGTGCCTGGCCTGCCTCCCTTATTTGAAAGAGCATCCCAGGGACCCAAACCAAAGTAGCAAGAGGTGCAGATATAACTCAAAGTCCAGCCTTTTCAGGGAAGACTGGAGTCCCAGTGACATGGAGAAGAAGTAGTGAGAGCTTTCTAGGGAGGCTTGGAAGGCAGAGCAGGTCTATCTGTAATGTTTTCTTACATATGAGTAGAGGCTTGGCAGGATGGGCCCAGGTGTGGAAACCCCTGATGGCTTTTTTGGGTGCACTCTGGTATAACAGGAACAGTCCCCACTGGCAGAAGCCCCCCAGGTCAAGTGTTGCTTTGGGGTTTTTGTGGTGCGTGACCTTGGGCAAGTCACCTTTCCTTTTGACATGCTCCACTGGTTTCCCAGGGGTTCTATGAGAATCCCACAAGACTACAGACAGCGCAGAGCTTTGCAAGAATTTGAAAACTGACCCCCAACACAAGGGACTATGGAAAGACTCATAATTACTTTGGCACCCTCACCTCACGGCTTTGGTGATCTTGGTCTGGCTCTCTGGTGAGGAGACAAGCATGGTGGAGGTAGTGGGGATCTCCTCGTCTAGAGACAGTCCCAATTCCAGACTCGCAGATGGCTGCAGACCTACATGCTGAACCTTTGGCTTCTCCCAGGAAGGGCTGCCCTTGCCCTGGGTGGCAGCTCTGGATGAGACCCTGGAGCTGGCCCTCCGGGTGGTGTTGGTGGAGGAAGTGGAGGAAGTGGAGGCCTGTGGCGGTGCTGCTGGAGCTTCACTTTTCTCATCCTCGTCTTCAATCACCACCAGATCCTTGGGCATCTCCTTAAACTGGTATACCAGCCTCTGCCCTTCCACTTTAGCCAGGATGCCTCTTTGATAGTAATATCTGGGGAACAATGGGCAGGGAGTGGGGAGTTAGGCAGGGACTGAGTGGGGAGAACTTCGCTCTCCATGTCTCCAACACACCACCCTCCAGGGCAGGGCAGGCATGAGGCTGAGGTTGGTCAGGGAGCCAGGTGGGGACTCAGGGGCCAGGAAGGGATACACAGAAGGTTTTTATGACATTTCTGAGGTTTCCCTCTGTGGACTCAAAGGTTGTACTAAAAGGATGTTTCAGTGTCAACCCCAGCCTGTTTCATGGCTGACAACATGCAGTGAATGAAGAATAGCAATATGAATGAGGAGATAGGGGGCAGGGGACTCAGCAGTCCCCTAGCCTGAGACATTAACTCTGGGGCAACTCAAGGCCATCTCTCTGGGCCTCTGGCTTACAGAATGTGAAGAAATCCCTTCTTGGAATTGGTGGCAGGGGCGGGGGCACTATTCTTCCAGGACAGAGATGCAACAAGGTGATTTTTCCTCCCAGAGGGGGCATGGGGCAAGCAAATGGGAGATTTATGAAACCTGTTTCCTTAAAGGATTGATCAGGCCTCCATTCAAGTGGGAGAGATGCCTTGGGAAGAGCTTGGTGTCTCCCCTAGGGCAGGGAGTCTGTATCCCAGCAGCTTTTACCTTAGGGCCCGCCCCATTGTCTCATAGTTCATGTCAGGCTTGTTTTTCTGCTTTCCCCACAGCTTGGACACAGCTTTGGAGTCCACCAACTTGAAGATGCCTTTCTCTCGCTGGGTCCACTTGATGTACTTGGGACAGGTGTTTCGGTCTTGTAGAAGCGCCAAGAGAAACTCCCATAGATAGATGGTGCTGCCTGCAGAGGGGTAGGTAGTGAGGGGCGGCTTAGGCTCCCTGGCAGCAGGTTATGGGGCCCCCTTCCCACCTCCCCTGAGTCTCAGCCATACCTTTGCCATCCTTTGATTTCTTCCGGATGGGGATGCTAGGGTCAGTGACAGGTGAGGTACTGCGGTTGCCCTTTGTCTTCCGGACTGTGAGAGGAAAGGTGAAAGAACAGGATGAGGCTAAGGCTATGGTGAGCCGGCCAAGTTGCGTGTGATAGGACCAACCAGGAGGAGCCAGGACACCGAGGCTGGAGGCCAATCATTCTCTACAGCCATAGCCTGTGAGTATCTGTACCCTCATTTTCAGTCCCCTAAGGTAGCTTGGTAACAAGGCTACCGATAGGATGTAGGAAAATATAATGCTTGCAAATGAGGCACCTTCATAAGAACAGGGTGTGCCTGGCCTAATGTTTGAAGTGGAGAGACAGCCCACAAGTGCCACTGTCATGCAGGTCAGTGTGGTGCTGAGGCTTTTTGGTTGCCATGTTGACAGCGAATCTAAGACAATATAAGACAGACAGTATAAGCCAGCCATCATCTTGAGTAAATCAATAACACCAGGGCTTGGGAAAGCCCAAAGTCCTCTCTCATATATGGCTGGGGTTCATCAGCTCTGCAAAAGGGAGATAAGCACATGGCATGACTCACTTTTTATAGGCAGAGGCCCCAGAGGTCCAGGCCAGACCAGGGGTCCAGGCCTGGAGTCTGAACTCTCAGCCTAGGATTCAACCCACTGGGGTTGTTGGCATTTGGGGAGTTTACACATATACTCGGCAGACAAAAGCAGCAGGGGACTGTCAGGCTTCAGGTAGGCCCTCCAATGAGGCCAGGTTTACAGAAGGGAAGCCTTTTAATCCATCTCAGCCAGACCAGAGAAAGGTCCTCTTAATGTATCTGTGAGCCTCAGCTCATTCAGCCCTTAGAGTTTCCCTGGCCCCACTGCCCTCCCCCTGGGAACACACATACACCCCTCCTATCCTTACTTCTTCTTTTTAAAAAATATTTATTTTTTAGTTGTAGTTGGACACAAAACTTTATTTCACTTATTTATTTTTATGTGGCGCTGAGGATCGAACCCAGGGTCCCACCCGTGTGAGGCAAGCGCTCTACCACTGAGCCACAACCTCAGCCCTCCTTACTTCTTTTCTTTGATTTTCCAGTCTTCTTAGAACTTTCCTCTCTGGAGACCCTTCCCTCCAGAGAATGATCTTCCTGGTCACCAGCCCCATTCAGGGCATCGGGCTCAGAGGCAGGAAACAGGTAGTTGGGCAGAGTGATGGCTGCAGCAGGGTCTGAGTCTGTAAGCATTTCAGAGGTGCTGACTGCAAGAAGAAAGGCATGAGGTGGACAGGGCCTAGGCAGGGCCGGACAGTGGTCTCCCAGCACTGCTGAACCCAAGAATTGAGGGCACCTAGGGAGGGTTGGTGTGCTGTTCCCCACAGCCCTAGACATAGGTCATACCTGAAAATGCCTCAGGAGTATTGTACCACAAAGGGCAGAAACATCTGCAGAGCTGTGAGCATGAGTTGGCCTCAATCACAGCTGCCACATTTATAGCCCACTGCCAGCAGTGGGAAAGTTCCAGGTAGCATCCGGGGTTAACAGGCCCCCTTGATTTGATCTTTCACTTATTTGACAACTCAAAGAGACCTTAGAAACCAGTGAGCCCAATTCCTTTGCTTTCCTGATGAGGAAACGAAGACCAATCCAAAGATGGCAAAATTTATGCTCAAGGTTACAGCAAGTTGCTGCATGGTACATGTGGGCACTTGGTATCCTGGCCGAATATTAGTGAGAGGCAAGATAAGATCTCTTACCTTTCAGATCCAGGGCTTTTCTTCCCCTCACTGCATCACAGTACCCACTAGGGCAAGGAAGTTGAGGGGGGAACCTTCCTGTGGCAGTAGGGCATTTGCCTGAGAAGGTGCTGGGAGGAATCTGCCTTGGGAACCTCCTGGAGGGCTGGGAGCCAGGGAGGATCAGCAAGCATCTGAGGCCTCTTAGGGTCTAGCCTCCATTAACAGGGGAGGGATGAAGATGTACCAAGCCTCCTACAATTCTCAATACCCTAGGTCCTGTGTTTCTTAGTCTTCCCGGGAGCCAAGTAAGAGAACAGAAGGGCCCCAAAACCCCCTGGAAAACAGTGTTCAGCCTTGAAAAGACTACAACATGGATGGACTTTGAGGACACTATGCTAAGTGAAATAAACGAGTCACAAAAGACCAATACTGTATGATTCCACTTAAATGAGGTATGGAGAATAGTCAAATTCATAGGCCCAGAGAGTAGAACGGTGGTTGCTGTGGGTTGGGGATGGGGGTTAGGGGATGGAAGTCATTTAATGGGGATAGATTTTCAGGTTTACAAGATTTACAAGGTTTACAAAGAGTTCTGGAGATGGATGGTAGTGATGGTTGCCCAACAATGGGAATATATTTAACACTGCTGAACTATAAAACTAAAAATGAGTACGATGGTATATTTAATACATATTTTACCACAACTTAAATATTGGATAAAAACCCAAAAGTCACCCTGGCCATTTTCTCCATGTCTCCAGTGCCCTCATACCCCTGCTTTACGAGTCCCAGCTCAGGCCTGTTCATATGCACATGGGTGGGGTGTCAGCACCTAGGCCTGCCTGCACGTGTGCCTCGGAATCCACTACATGGACGCAACATTTTCAAAGGCAGCTGTGTTGCCTTGAGTCAAGGCCCTGGGGTCAAACTTACAGATCTGCTTCTCATCCAGGATATCATTCGGAGATTCCACATTCAGTAAGACTTCAGTGGTTGACACGGTATGTGAAGTGGCCTCATTGTCATCTGATTCCAGGTTCCATGGGAGGGGGGAGAAGAGTTCTCTTAGGGCACAATACAGCTAGAACCAGGGCCAGCCCAGGTCAACAGAGTAGTAAGTAGAGGAGTCACCGGGACCCTACTGGAAAGCTGGGAAAGAAGCCGTCTACCTCCTGCCCTAATCCTCCACCCCCTCAGCTAATCTCCACTCCTCCTTGTCCCATCTCATCTACAGTATATGAATGCATTAAGATGTTTCCTTTTCTATGAAGTGGCACCCCCTTTCATTGGGGGCCTTGCCCATTCTTCTCGGGTTCAGCCTTTGTGGGCTGCTATTCCCTGAAGAGATAACCCCTCTCTCCACCACACCTTCCCTGCCCATAAAGGAAACAGACCTGCCAGCAAAAAACTGCCCTCCAGGATCTGATCCTGTGTCATGCACAAGGTCCCATCTGTTATGACACCATTGTGACCGTCGTCCAGCTCCAGTCCTGAATACAGGTGCAGTAATTCGGGGTAGGGTACCTGTTCCACGATCACAGCCGGGAACACTGAAGGGTCTTCCAGCTGTAAAGAAGACAGGGATCTGTTTCAAGGCCCAATTACCTCTTTGGGAAGCCCTCCCTATCAGATTTTGGCCTTCTGTGTAATTCCTAATTCTTGGAGCCACCAGGGGCTGAGGATAACATTGCTCTTGATCCATTCTCACTAGTTGATGCTGTGAGTTCTTGACTAATACAGATGGCTTAGCTTGGCACCACCTACATTCAACCAAGGGTAAGCATTTGTGTGTGCCTGGTATCTAGGACCAAACCCAGGGTCTTGTACATGTTAAGCACAGATTCTACCACTGAACTATAGCCCTGGTCCCAGAAAGCAGTTTTAACTGGTTGGATTAATCCACAGCCTGGAGTTAGAGTTCAGGCTATGAGAAGGGTTAGGTTCAGCAGGCATTATGCTAAGTGCCTATAATCCCAGCAGTTCAGGAGGCTGAGGCAGGAAGATTGCAAGTTCAAAGCCAGCCTCAGCAACTTAGTAAGGCCCTGAGCAACTCAGTGAGACCCTGTCTCTATAAATAAAATATTTAAAAAGGGCTGAGGATATTGCTTAGTGGTTAAGTACCCCTGAGTTTGATCCCTGGTACTAAAGGAAAAAAAAAAGGTTAGGTTCATTCTGAGGCTGGTGGAAAAGGATCAGTTGATAGCAGGGATGAGGGGTTCAATCTAAAGTCAGGTGAGCCTGGCATAGTGGCCTACATCTGTAATCTCAGTGACTCAGGAGGCTGAGGCTGGAGGATTGCAAGTTTGAGGTCAACTTCAGCAACTTAGTGAGACACTGTCTCAAAATAATTTAAAAAAATAATAAAAAGGGAGCTGGGGGTTGTGGCTCAGTGGCACAGTGCTTGCCTAGCATGTGTGAGACACTGAGTTTGATTCTCAGCACCAATATAAATAAACAAAATAAAGGTCCATTGGCAACTAAAAAATATTTTTTAAAAAAGGGTTGGGGATGTGGCTTGGCAGTAAAGCATCCTGGGTTCAATCCCCAGTATGACAAAGAAAAAAAGGAGGATAACAACTGGGATTTATTTATTTATTGCCATAGGGATTGAACCCAGGGCACTTTACCACTGAGATGCATTCCCAGTCCTTTTTTTTTTTTTAATTTGGTACTGGAGATAGAACCAAGGGGTGCCTAACTACTGAGCCACATTCCCAGCCCTTTTAACTTTTTTATTTTAAGACATCATCTTGCTAAGTTGCTGAGGCTGGCCTCAAACTTGTGATGCTCCTGCCTCAGCTTCCCCAGTTGTTGGGATTTCAGGTGTGTGCTACTATGTCTAGTTTATTATTTTTGGTGCTACTATGTTTAGTTCATTATTTTTGGTGCTAGGGATGGAAGCCAGGGCCTTGGGCATGCTAGACAAGATCTCTACCACTGAGCTATATTCTGAGCCCTGTTCTTAAAAAAATATCTATATAGTGGGCTGGGGAGTTAGCTCAGGAGTAAAGCACTTGCCTCACATGGCCCAGGATGTGGGTTCAATCCCCAGCATCATACTCAAAAAAAAAAGTTCTCGGGCTGGGGATGTGGCTCAAGCAGTAGCGCGCTCGCCTGGCATGCGTGTGGCCCGGGTTCGATCCTCAGCACCACATACAAATAAAGATGTAAAGATGTTGTGTCCACTGAAAACTGAAAAATAAATATTAAAAATTCTCTCTCTCTCTTTAAAAAAAAGTTCTATATGGAGAAAATACACCAGAATGGTAATAATAGTTATATTTTGGTTGTGGGACTTAGGGTGGTTTTTCCCTTTTATTTCTACTTTTCTGTATTTTTCAAATTTTCTTTCAATGGGACATTAAAATTTGCTTCATTAAAAAAAGAATGGGAATGGTTCCCTCTGTCAAATATTTCTGGCAGATTCAGAAAAGTGAAAACTTATAAACCATCTTTGGATTTGACCTCTGGGCAGTTTCCCTTGCTGGAGTGGTTTCAGAGCAGTGCTGGAGGGGAGTGTCCCAGGACAGGTTACAAAAGATATGAGGATGAACTCAGGCAGGCATCAGGTGTAGTGACTAAGGCCACAGTGTCTAGAGGTCTGCTGTCCTAGATGAAAGCCACTAGCCAAGGAGGACTTTAAATGTAAATGAAAATTTTGAAAAGATTAAAAATTCATTTCTTCAACTGCTCTAGACACATTTCAAGTGCTCCATAGCCACATGTGACTAGTGACCCTATACCAGATACCACAAATACAGAACATTCCAGCATTCTTAAAAATTGTATTGAATTGTGCTGATGTAGATCCAGACTACTTAGGTCTGAAACCAGCTCTGGTACTTACTGGCAGTATGACCTTGGGAAAGTTGCCTAACATTTCTGTGTGTGAGTTTCCTCATTTATAAAATTGGGATACTCATGTTATTGATACCTTAGGGTTTTTTAAATAGATCAGCATACATAGAGCACTCAGAACAGGGCCTGGTACAGAGTAAGTTCTCCTAAGTGTTAGGTATCAGCCGCTTCTAGAAGAGTAATATTTTATTTCTTAACCTGGGTAGTGAGAACATATGTGTTCATTTTATAGTCTATCTATGGTTTATGCACTCTTTTGTACTCATGATACATTTCACAACCAAAATTGTTTCCTAAGAAGAATGAAAGGGTGGTAAAGAAAGTAAAAGCAGAGGGTGGGGACTATCTTGGGACTGGGAGAGAAAGGACCTAAGACGGTGGTATTCTGAAGGAAGGGGTTGGAAGGGAGTAAAGGTTTTCTTTTTGGGTTGAGGAGACCTGAAGATGTTCAAATTGAAGAAGAGGATCTGAGGATCTCGGAGGTTGGAAAGACAAGTGGGGACTAGGTGGGAGAGGAAGGGCTGGTGAGCACAGTGGGTGGGGGATAAGGAACAGGAAAAGTGATTGATGGTTTGAGGTTTTGAATAAAGCAAGAAAGAACAGATAAGGTACAGGGGTAGACATTACCCTGGGAAGGAAGAGGGATACATCATTTTGCCAGGTCAGTGAGAAGGAAATAAGAATGGGAAAGTTTTAGATAAAGGTGAGAAGGGAGGGAACTTAAAGGCATCCTTAGCTTTCGGCTTCTTTATGGACTGGAGAGATTGCTGAGGGTGGAGGTTGGGAGGGCAGAATAACCACTGTGAAGAACAGAAACAGTTGCCAAGGACACTAGAAAGGGATGGAAGGTGGGAAGTAGCATGGAGAATCCAGTTAAGGACAGATATTTCTTCCTTTCTCATCTGATGCCTTCCACAAGACTAGGCACAGCAGAGTTCAATAAAATTGAACAACCTTGGAAAAGAAGGAACGGGATTGTGGGTGCAATGCACTCGATGCCCATTAGAGGGCAGCCTTTGGTAGGCGGCCAGATATGGGACAGTTTTCCATCCTTGCAAGGATTTAGAATAGAGCATCAGAGTTAAGCTGGTGTGTCCTGAGAAATAATTCGGCTAGATATCCTCTTGGCAAAGAAGGGGAGATGGCATCCAGACATGGTAGGGGACATGACTTGGCCAGGTGACACTGTGACCATACTAAGATCAAAACCTAGGGTTCCTGATTCCCCCTCTTCCATTCCTACTACCATACCTGGCTACCTCTTCTTTCTCCACTGCGTGGAAGGTGGAGATGGGGAGAGCACTGATAAGAATTCCAGGATACCATCCAGTGGGGACATCCAAGTGCATGGAAAAATGTGCCCTCTTAGCCCCAGTGCATCACAAGGTATGGAACACAAGGGACCTGAGTGCCTATCCTATCCTATTTCCAACTTCCTTCCACCAAAAGAACACATTTCCAGTTTTTCTGAATTTTCAGGTTGAGGCTGAGAAGACGGTATGGAGAGCCCATCAACTGGGTTGCAGTCATGAGTCTGGAGATGCCAGGACTTGAACTCCACCCTGCAGTTCCAGCTGGCAGTGGCCTCTCTTACTCTGTGGTTGTCCTAGCTATTTCCTTGCTGTGACACTGAAGGTGAAAGGTAGTGGCCCCAAACCCGCATGATTGTCAGCATACACTTCATGCATTCAGTCCCTGCTGCTGACTGGCTGATAGCTCAGCTGATTGACCTAGCAGCTGCTTGGCTGGTTTGGTGGTTGTATGAGCCCCATGTGGGCAACCAGATCCCTAAATGACTGTCCAGGGATGACTGACTGGCTGTGTGAGTGAACATCTGGTGCACATGCTGACTGGCAAGCAGGCCAAGTGCCCCGAACATAGTAGGTGCTTGATGGATACTTGCTATCTGGCTCACTGGCTACCTGCCTGCCTTCCTGTCCATTCCCTTGGCTGATTGTGCTTTATTCTCTGGGGTCATACCTGGTGGATATCATCCATCCCGTTGCTTGCAAACTCAAAGATCAGGTCACTGGGTTGCAGGGTAATAGCCATACTGTTTTCTCCCAGAGCAGAGCCGACAGCGGGATTTCCCGGGCTCTCTGTAGCTGCAGCACTTTCTTGATAAAGAGATGCTGTTCAGGTACCTTGAGGCAAGAGTCTCCACTGAGCCACAGAAGGACACGTAGAAAGCGGAGTGAGTGGTGGCTTATGCCAAGCTCAAGGCTGCATGCTGGGCTGGGCCAACTGCAGGGGCAACCTAGGGAGAAGGGAGAGATGGAGACTCTGAGTAAGTCACCTGCCTTGAGCTCTGTGGTTGGGACAGCTGGCCAACCTGAGGGTCCCTGCTGTGCCAGCACAGCACAGGCCACAAGGAGAAGGACAGCTAAAAGAGAGGGGGAGGCAATGGGAGAAGAAGAGGGAAGAGGAAACGGCTGAGCCTCAGTGCCTGTCAGGGTCACTAGCATCTGTCCCTCTAAGTGGGGCAGAAGTGTGAAGAATCCCTGTAACTCCCTTGGTTTGGGAAAGAATTGTGAGGGGGTGTGACAGGACATGGGAACTTTCAGGGTGTTCCTGAGGCTCAGTTTACCTTGGGAGTACAGGCCAGTTAGCTCCAAGAGGCATTCTACAGAGGAAGAAATGTCTCACTGTGCGGGGTTTTGTGGTGTCGAGGCCAGGGGTGGACAGACCCTGCTCTTAGGGAGAAGACTCTCAGACCTGGCTGTGTCTACAGAGCCTGGAGACAGAGGGACAGGTGGGCCACATGCCTTGCGTGCTTGTCAGCATCTCTGCCCCTCCCCCACCAGCCAGAGAGGGTGGCCTCTGTGCTGTGTGTGGGTTTGTTCTTGGTTCAGCTTTGCTTTCAGTTTCAAGACTGAACTGTCACCCTGGGAACTTGTGAGGAGAGTCCTGGCTGGGGGGAGGGGCCAGCAGAACCTTCCCCAGCCTCCAGGGCCGGCTCAGGGCCCCTTTTCCAGGAAATCTCTGCTGCAGCCCACACACATCTCTCCTCATCCGAATGTCCCCATGCTCACATGGCATCTGGGCCACTTCCCCTGCCTCCACTCCTCACTTTCAGCACCCTAGCAGCTCCTCCACGCTGGGTTACACCCATGGCCACCTTCCAAAGCCCTCTCCCCACCCCCTACAACCTCCCTCCTGACAGCCTGCTCTGCTGCTTCTCTGCCCCAGAACACTGGGGAGTCTGTACCATCCAGGTAGGAGTATGTCTTTGTGTCTTTGGCCCTTCAGGTTCATTTGGAGTGTGTGATATTTTCACTGTGTGGATGTGCCCCAACAGCCTGATTAACCCATAAGCACCTGAAGAATTGTGTCTGTGCACCATAGTCAGAATGACACTCTTAATCCCACCTCCTTGACACTCCCTGGGCAGTACCAGGGTGGCAGAACCTTGTCCTGTGTTGGAAAGAAATGAGGAACTTCAGAGAGGGGCAAGGGGGAGGAAAGGGAGGGGGACCATGGGTGACCTCCCTGATGACCGCTCTCCCTCACAGGAGACACCCAGGCCTCTCCCACTTCCTTTCTGTTAGGCCACAGGGCTGGTCCCGCCCTCTCCCCACCCCCACACCTTTCCACCCACCCCAATAAAAAGCCACTCAGCTCATTGCAACCTGTCAGTCTGAGTTTCCCTTTGGATGAATGAGAAATTGAGCCTTCGAGGTCCATCCCCAGCAGGACCCAGGGGAAGCACCTGGAAACAAGGGTCTTGTCTTGGTTCCATCCCCCATACCCTGCCCCACTCCCACCTGGCCTTGCATGTGACCAGGTCTCCCAGTATCCTGCAAGGTCTCACAGGGCCATTTATGCTTGGAAGGTCTGTCTCCCCTAGCCTAAGCGCCCCAAGGCCTGCATTCCGCAGCTCCCCACCCTCCCACAGGCCTGTCTGTCTGCCCCCAGGAAACATTCTCATACTAATCAAATGAAAGGTGATCACTTTCACCTAATCCCACTTTGTCTAAACACGAAACTCCTGTCTGCCCCTCCCCCAAGGTCATTCCACTATGGCCCTTCCTTCCAGGTTGGCTTCTTGCTGGCTTCTCTTCGCAGACCAGAATTTCACTTTTGCAAGTTCACTGCATGTGTTCATCGCCTAGGGAACTCGTATGCACCTTCCTTCGTCCCGTCCCCCGTTGGACAGTGGCTGCCTGTTGGTCATAGAGGAAAATTTAGCATCCTGCCCTGTGCCTGGCAATGAGCAGACACTCAGTTCGTGTTTGTGGAATGAACACAAGAGGGAGGGAACAAAAGAAAGAAATGATGAATGAATGGAACTGGCCAGTTGGCATCTGTGAGGTGTGTTTTCTGGGTGGTGTATAACTGTGTGTACACGGAGGGCCTGTAGGTACCATGTACTTTTGTCTTACAAGAGAATGGGACAAACGTGCAAACCCCGAGGTGATATTAGTATATTTTGTTTGCATTGTTACATGGCTGCACTACTGTGCTTGCTGTGGGTGTGCAAACACACAGAAGGTATACACATGTGCAGGGTGTGTGCGTGTGTCCCAAGTGTGGGATTTATGCGTGAGATTGTCAGTAAGTCAAAGGGCTGCCCTGGTCTGGTCGGCAAAGCCACAAGCTCAGTCATCAGTTCTTCCTCCTCTGGGGACCAGTGGCCTCAACTACCTTTGTGAGAATGAGAAGCCCAGGCTATGGCTGGCTCAAAGAGGTTGTGGTGAAGATGGGGGAGGGCTGGGGTTCTGCTGGCTGAAGGGTCACTGTTACTCTGTGCTTCCCAAGAGAATAGCCTCAGAATAGGTATGGGGCCCACGGATCCCTGGGGCAAGTCCCCCACAGTGGTCCACTCTGCTGGGTCGGGGGTGGCGCAGCCAGGGCATGCCACTGGATTGGCTGGAACTCTTGGCCATCAAATACAAAGAGGAGAGATTTGAAGTAAAAGAGATTTCAGCGGCACTATTTGTGTGCCCATGTTTAAATATCTAAATTTGGGGTTTCACTAGTGTAGCCCACAGTTGTGAGGTCTTGGGAGATGGATTCTTTGGATCTCATTCTGCCCCGGGGCCTGAAGCTAAGTTCAAGGGGTGTAGGGGGAAAAAGTAGCTGTCCCAGTCTCTTGGCCAAAGGTAAGAAATCTGCCCCCCTCCATGGAACCTTCCAATCCAGAATGTTTCCCCCTCCCCCTTCAAAGATGTTTGAGGATTTGAAAGTGAGAGGTGGAGAGAGGCACATTTGCATGTTCACTTACTCTCCCCCAGTCCCTCAAAATAACCTCCCTCTCCCAGGAACCTGAAACCAAAAAAGCCACCACCACAGAAGGCCCGCCCTGCTGGAGGCCTGGAGAGGCCCACACCAGGGGCGCCTCTCTCCAGGGTCCTTCCAAGAGCGCTGTGCCTGGGATAGAGCTTCAGTGACCTACAGCATTGGACACTGCTTTGCTGGCAAGCAGCGGGGTGGGGGTGGGGGTCGGGGAATATACAGACAGGGAATTGAAGTACCAGGGAACCCTTAGTAACTGGTGGTGAATCCCTGCCACCCTGCCCCACCACTGCACAGCTCACAGCTGGCTCCACTCAAAGTCCACCCCCATGGTCTGACCTATTGGGGCTGAAAGTGAAGTCTTTGTGAGACTATATGGCCCCTGGAGGCTGCCGAGTGTACAGTGCAGGAAAGAGCAAATGGCAGAGCACCCCTCTGTCCCCAGCCAGCAAATGCACCTCTAGCTCTCTGTGGTTCTGACTGCATTTCAAAACCAAAGCAAAATAGAAGTGGTGTGAGCTGCTTCTGCATCACCACAACTGGGCCTCCTGCAGAGGTACAGACCCTTCCTGGGGCTGTCACTGGAACATATCAAGCAGTGTCCAGCGCCCACCCATCTGGGCCTCCCCTACAGGAAACAGCCCTGATGTGAAAGCCACGTCCACAGTCTCCATGGAGTAAGTTTAAACCTACACCCGTTGAGCTGAGCCAATGGCTCTCACAGAATTGCTGGTAACACCCGTGGCATTTTCTCACATGCCAGGAAACATGGGGGCCAGATGGTCAGCAGGGCCACAGAGCACAATTCTCCTTCTCCAGTCCCTTGTCCCCTCTGAGCCAACTCTCACTCCTGAAATACCTTGTCCTCCATGAAACCTTTCTGGAATTCTCTGGAAAGGAAGTGACAATTTCCTTCATGCCATTTCCCACTCCCTCAACACCCCTCCCCCACAACCACAAACAAAATGGAAACTACCCCAGGAACAGCTGTACCCTCTCCTTAAAAACAGCCCCTCCTCCAGCTAAGAGTCATCAAGCAGTGAATGTGCCTGCTGCACCATGTGACCAGTGGCGTGTATTTAAGAGCCACAGGACCAGAGTCAGAGATCCAGTCTGTAGTCCTGCACAGAGTGGAATTAAGCTATCCACAGGACTCAAACTCACAACGTTAGCCCAGTTAGGACTGGGCTCCAACCAGCCAGCTAATCCCTTTCTTGAGCAAGTGCCCAATTAAGGGGCGGGGGCCACAGCTATTTTGTCAGTCCCTTCTCCTCGATTCCTTTCTTTTCACTGCCCCCTCCATTTGAGATGAAATCAGGAAGAGGGAGGGAAAAAAAGAAAGGTTTTGCAACGCTGTTGGTTGGGGTTTCTCTGTGCTTATTTACAAGAAAACCCAGTTTCCTTCTTTGCCCTTCTGCCACTGACTGATTCCAACGTAGGCTTGTCACAACTCCAGTAATGAGGTGGGCCCTCACCATCTGGTGACCCAGAGCTCATCCTCACCTGTCCCCTTCACCCTTCCTCTGCTCTCCTCTTGGTTTTGCCTTCCAAGGCCCCAACCTGCCCAGGAGGAAATGGCAGGCCCCAGGCAAAATGATGTTCTTCCCTCATTCTCCAGGAGACCCATGGCCACTCAGGGTGTGTAGCACCTTCAGACAGGGGAACAGGAGGCAAGTGCTCTCCTGGCTGCATCCCTATAAGCTGTATGACCCTGGAAAAGTGGCCACCTTTCTGGGCCCTGGCTTCTGTCATCCCTCCAGGGGAGCAAGAACTGAGGGTAATCAGGGCTTAGCCAGTACTCCCCAGAGAGTCTCAAGTGAATGGAGAGGATGGTGGGAAAGAATTTTGAAAATTAAAAAGCACTCATTCGAAGATGGGGTCTCAGGTGACCTTCCAGAAACACGGTGAGTGTTGCGGGTGATGACAGTCTCTCGTGTCCCCCTTGGCTCCAAAAAGACAGGGTGGAGTTGGAGGGTTATAGTTGTTAGCTGGAAAGGGGCTGACTCCTCATGTGGGTTGGGG